GAAATCTGGCAAATCATTTTAATAAATTATGGTATAACATGGATTATTATATTTTTATTCTGCCTTTTTATATATAATACAAGGTAGCAAACATACCTAATACTCCCGCCTCCTATTTTCCCCACAACAACCACCTTGTGAAGTGGGCTGGGCTGAGAGAGAGAGAGATTGGCCCAAACAAAGTCACCTAGCTAGCTTTCATGCCTAAGGGACACCTACAACTCAGAGTCTCCTGGTTTCTAGGCCAGCACCTTAACCACTACTAGCTCTTAAAATCTGCCACTTAAAGTGGGGGATTGGACCTAAACTCAGTATTTTATTAGACATTTTCAAATGTGTAGGCACTGTTCTTTGGATATAAGTTTGTTATAGATGTCTTTAATTTTTATAATATTTCCTTTACAGTGCAGGATGTCCTTTGAATCACAAGCTTTCCAAGATGCTCCTGATTTGTAGATCTGCAAGTAAAACAGACTGTATGAGAGAACGGTCATGATGTACTATAGCTTGATATACCCAGTGTGTTGCACCATAGTATATCACTAGGAGTACAAAAAAATAAGGAGATAACATTCATAGCCATTAACAAATTTCAACATAATGGATAATAACTTTAAATTCACAAAAAGAGTTTAATGTTAACAAATCAAGCCATATTTCTTTGCTCTAGAAACAGCCCGAGCCCTACCTGTTGTGAGTCAAATATAAATATAACTTATAAGCAGAAATATTTATATTCGCCGCCTCTGCTTTATTACTTGTTTTGTTTGATTTTTCACTGATAATTCTTCAGGTGAGTTTGAAGTCTGAACTGGAACAGCAATCTAGTTTGGAAAAAAAAAAATTAAAGTTAGTACATTATATGCATCCATAATAGAATAGGAGAGATTAAGCTGCTGCAAAATAATTAGTACATGCAAATTCTATATTATGTTAGAACTATATATTTTCACAGCATTGAATAAGAAATTATTAGCCCACCTTCTTTAGTCTGTTACGAATTAAGTTTGCTGAGGTGTTCAGTGAATGGTCATCCATGTCTATTTTAGGTATTTCTGGTAGCCGGGGACCAATAATGATTTCTTTATTAGTCTCTCTTCCCAAAAGGGCAAGTTTGTTGTCTTCATCTCTTCTTCTTTTTCGTTCCTGCAGTTGAGTAGTTCGGGGCATGAATCTTCCAAGCCCTTCATCAGATGGAACCTTTCTTTCTAGGTTCCAACAAGACAATGTGTTATGTACTCTTTGCTGTGGCCTCTGATCCATTCTTGTCCTTTGGCTAAAGCATGTAGATGTTGTAGCACAGTCACCAGTATAGTGAGGTGCCGCTAACATATTCTGATAATGCTGTTCTGAAGGAGATATAACATGTTTCAATGATAATGTGCAACAGGATTGACCAAAGTCCTGTGTATATGTTGCTGGATTCCATTTGCTAATGGCTGTCTCAGATGTCCATGATCCACGATCTAACTGCATGATTTTTGAAGAATGTACACTAGAATCCTGTTTTGTCTCCAGTGATTGCTCTTAAAACACAAGAAAATAATGTATTACTTTTTTAGTGCATAGTAAACAAAGGCATTTTTCAAGTGAATTTTACTTTTGTTCACAATTTACCACGGTAGGAAACAGGGAGGATTTATTTGATGGAGCAGTAAGAAAAATTGTTTTAATGTATTAACTGAGAGTTACAGAAAAATTCCCTCCAAGCCAGCTTTGTTCTGCTATGCTTTTGGTATGATGGTTTTATATGCATCTTCAAAGAATTGGATTATTGCAATAAATTACATAAACATCCATCATTCTGTTTTCTTTTGGGGTGAACATTGTTATGTAGAGTGCAAAAATGTAGTATGGAGTAATAAGCAAAAGAAATTAAACACATGAACTAAGGAAAAAAGGAAAATTAGCTAAATTTAGTTCAAAGTAAATCCTGTAAATACTCAGACAGTGCTCTTTCTTTGCTTCCAGCCTTTCATTTTTCCATTCCAAACTATTTGGATTTGAAATAATACAAGAGAGATTCTTAATGAGAGTATAAAAACAAAGAAAATTTAACTTTTCAAATAGTAAATGTAAAGTCTTCCTTGAGTTGAGCTTGACTTCTGATGGCAACACTGGCAAATTAATGTTGGGTTTTTCTGGTAATTATAAAAAAGTGGCTTGTTCTTGCCTTTTACTGATTCAAAATAGTTAAAACCACAAACCTTTGGCATTGGTTGCCTTTGCTATATATTTTCGTCTGTCTCTTAGTTTGTCTCTGGTCTCTTGTACGCTCTCAAATTCTGGAGCATAGCATACATGTAGCAAACTGCCAAAGAAACTCCGCTCATCCAGTTTTCTTTTGGCTATCCTAAAAGAAAGAAAATAATACTTAACGTTAAAGACTACTCAATCTTGTTGAAGTTAAGATCTCTTTAAACCAGTAAGTTCAGTTTTGACATTATAAAGATAGGTTTTGTGGTCTACATAAAACTGATATATAAAAGAAGTTTCAATATTAAACAAGTAGGGATTCTAGAATACAACAAAAGCAATCTATACATACCTTGCACTCTGTATTTTTAAAAACTTGATCAGATACACTTCAGTAAATTCTTCTGCTGGATAGCCATCTAGTGGATTATATTCCTCGATGGTACCATATAATGCAAATAGTTCAATTAGTTCTTTCATAACCCCCAATGCAGGAACACCTTGAATTAACAAATATCGAGACTCTAAATTGACAGTATAAACCTGAAAAACAAAGCCACTTTAATACTTATTATGGAATAAAGGTATCAATCTGAAACATATGCTTATTAAACATTTTTAATAATGAAAGTGAGCCATTCTATTTTGAACCTAATTGTTTACATTAATATAGTATAACAACTTTAAAGGAATGTGTTAGAAGTTCTGTATTTTAGCATTAGTGATCAAATTCATCCATGGTACTAACATGCAATATGGCTTGTTTGGTTGTAGTTTAGTCTGTTGAATGAACCCAAGCAATCATATTTTTGATAGTTTATTAATGCTCTGAGACCAGATAAAAGTAACAATGCAAATTCCAGAGTAAAAACAGACCAAAAAATTAAAAGGAAAATAATATAAGGTAAAATAAAATTTAAAAAGTCAATGGAAAAAAACACCATAGATAGTGGGTAAAACAGTACAGTTAGTCCCCAGTTTAAGAATGAGTTCTGTTCCCAAGGTCTGTCCTTAAGCTGAATTTGTATGTAAGCTGGAACAGTATTATTGTGTAAGTAGTATCGTGTAATGAACTCAAATCATTGTGTATTTAACTTGAATTTTGCTACAGTAGGCTCCATTCTTAACTATGGGTCGTCCTTAAATTGAGCGT